TGATTACCGCCTGCACCATCATGAACGTCCTTGATGCATCGCTGAACTTCGTCGCCATGGAGGCAAGTAAGAAGGATGCCTGATTCGGTCCATCGGCATAAGACACCCTCGATGATTGTGTACTTGGCGCTTCGAGCACGAATTCGCCGAGCTGCCCATTTTTCTGGTGGTAGCTCGCCGGTTTCCAAGAAGCGTCGTATCTCAACTCGCCAGTCTGCTGCTGGCTGGTCGTCAGTGGTTGCTGCAGGAACGGTTTCGTCTTCGTCGGTTGTGATTTGAAGAACTTCCTGGGGCGGGACTATGCTGGGCTGGGATATTCCTTGAACGGGAATAGTTCTTCGAAGAGTTGAATCTCTTTTTGATGCAATAGCAGCTTGAGCATCAGCACTGGTGTTGGCAGATCGGTCAATCTGATGTAGTTCAAAGGTCGTGAACTCCGCTGCTAACTGCTTTACCAGTTTCAGGTAGGCGTCTATTCGATCGTCCTTCGCGTCGTATTCTCCGCTGAACTGTTTAGCGACGAGCTGCGAATCGCTAAATGCCCGGATGTGTTGAATGTTCATTCCTCGGGCTAGTCGGAGACCGCCGATCAGCGCTTCGTATTCGGCTTCGTTGTTGGATGCATTAAACTCCAGACAGAAGCACTGCTCGAGAAGTTCTCCGGTGGGAGATTCCAATAGAATGCCGATGCCAGCTCCAAAGCGTGATGATGCTCCATCGACGTGTAGCGTCCATATTTCTGAATTTGCTGGGTCGGCGCCTAAAAGCTCTGGTGATAGTTCGATCAAAAAATCCGCCAAAACTTGTGATTTCGTGGAAGTCCGGGTTCGATACTCGATATCGAACTCGGAAAGTTCGATTGCCCACTTGGCCATACGGCCGGACTGCGTCGGGCTGTGCAGGATCGAACGAAGAGGTTGGCTGGTCATGACAGCAATGGAATGAGATTGAAAATAAGGTCGAAGTTTCCTTGAAGCGACGACCACAGCAAGAGCGAGTTTTTCTAAGGTCGGGTAGCGAGCTTCAGCACCATCCAAGGTTTTGCTGAAGTAGAAGATCGGCTTCTGCTCCCCACGATCCTCTCGAACTAAGACTCCACTGATTGCTGCGCTAGAGACCGCAACGTAGAGTAGCAGAGTGTCGCCATACTCAGGTTTAGCCAGGATCGGTGGAGTCGAGAGGTAGGTTTTGAGCTGTACGAATGCGTCTTCACACTTCTCGTCCCATTCGAATCGCTTGTTCCCTCGTAGGAGTTGATAGAAGGGGAGACACTTGTCTGTAGATCGGGATATGAATCTGTTTAGAGCGGCTATTCTTCCTGTTAGGCACTGAACTTCGCGAGTGTTAGTTGGCGAGGGTAGTTCCAAGATCGCGGAGATCTGCTTAAGATTGGCTTCGATGCCACGCTGAGTGACCAAGTAACCTAGAAATTCGCCTGATGTGACTGCGAAGGAGCATTTTGCGGGGTTGAGTTTCATGCCATACTGGTTCAGTATCAGAAAGCATTCTCGCAGATGGACTATATGATCGGCTGCTTTGGCTGATTTGACGAGCATATCGTCAATGTATACTTCCATTGTCTTCCCAAGCTGGTCGGCGAACATTTTGTTGACCAGGCATTGGTAAGTGGCTCCAGCGTTTTTCAAACCGAACGGCATGACCTTGTAGCAGTAGGTGCCCCGATTTGTGATGAATGCGGTCTTCTCGCTGTCGTCCGGATTTATGAGAATCTGATTATATCCAGAGAATGCATCCATAAAGGATAGCAATGTCGGGACACTGTCTGATCGCCACGGATGGTGATGACACGGCCCCTGATCGGCATCTTGATGCATTGGTGGTAAGGAGAAGGGACGGCTCGCATGGCGTTCAGCCATGGTGTTCCGAGGATAGCATTGTAGATCGCAGGTCGGTCAATAACCTCAAATTTGACCGAAATGGACTTTCCGCGGATGGTGACAAGCATCATTATAGTTCCTATTGTCGAAATTGAGTCGCCAGCGAATCCTGTGAGTGGTGATGGTGCGACTATTATGTCCCGCTCGGGAATACTCATCTTGCGCAGAGTATCCATGAAGATGAGGTCGACCGAGCTACTAGTGTCGATCAACACTTTGGAGACGTCGTCCTCTCCGAGTCGTAGTGAGATGACGAGTGGATCGGTGTGAGGTCGGTCGATGTCCTGCGCGTCCTGCTCCGTGAATGTGATTGGTAGGTCGTCCTTGAATAGTAATGGTGCGTCCTTCGGGGTATTGGCTGCCCTCCGTTCGTGCCGTTTAATTGAATTTATCGAGTCTGTGCACGAGAGGAGCCCTTCCATGATCATGTTAATCCGCCGACGTGGTGAGCTTGGAGGTGTGTGATCGTCTTCACGGTCACGCTTTGCTTCCTTGCCCTCGCGTTTAGAAGAGCGGTCGGTGGTATCTTTTCTATTGCGATCGTCATCGGGTCACCTGTCCTCGTCGTTAGATCGTCGTGTACTCCGGGGTTCTAGAAGGGTGATCTCGCCATGCTCCCACCTCTTCCTCAAGAGGGCTGGGAGGATGCGGCAATCATCGGTATGATGACCGTGCGCCCTATGGTATTTGCACCACGGCTTCCTGCTGTCAGGGTCTCTATCGCTCGAACGGTCCCACACGTTCCATGGCTTTTTTGGTCGTCCAACTGCATTGATGCTCTTGCGATTCTTGTCGTCCTTGTCGTAGTGCTGACGGGGCTCTTTGTAATCTTCCTGACTCGACGATCTGCCTTTCTTGTCGCGCGAGGATTTCTCATCGGCCAACTTGGCCTTGGCCTTGGCTGCCCGATCCTCCTCGACTCTGATGTATCCGGATGCCTTGTGTAAAGCATCTTCGAGGGTTTTAGTTTTTCCTGTCTTCAATCGTTCACAAAACGATGAATCGTCCTTCAAATTCTTGATAAGAATGTTAAAACATAGTTCATCCGACAGACTGCACTGGGAGACGATAGATCGGAATCGATCGATAAAATCGCGCAGCGGTTCCGTATCGCCCTGGACGCATGCCCATAGATCGAGCGCTGTGGACTCCGTGTCGATGTAAATCGAATAATGCTTCAGGAACCGAGCTGTGAGCTCCTTGAAGCTGTCGATGGAGTTCTTGGGAAGCTGTGAGAACCAGGTGAGGGCGCTTCCGGAGAGTGTCTCCACGAAGTACTGACAGAGGCATGCTTCCCGTTCCTCATCGGTGAAGCGAGCACGTCCCATGACGGCGTTAAACGCGGTCAGATGTCGCTTCGGGTCTGTTGTACCGGTGTAGCTTGGAGGTAGCTTCATCCGGCCTAAGTCTTTGAGAGGAGCGCTGGTGATGGCCGATGTGAACGGGGTCTGCTGGGTCTCCTGGAGGATCTTGTCCACTTCTGGTGCTGAGGTTGTTGCCTTGTGGATCTTGCTGTGAATATCGTCAAGGCGTTGGTGGAGAAGATCGAGCTCCGAGGTTGTCGTCGGGTCGGTACCTGCGGTATTGCGCGATGAACGAGCGTTCGAGTCCTCTGCATGTGCTCTCCGCAGGTCGTCTGTCGGTGTCGTGCCGAACAGGTTGTTCACTAGCCTGGTCGTGTCTGTGTTGCGGATCGGAGGGCGGGGAGGGGTGATCAGATCGGCCTGCTCTTGAGTATGAACTCTAGAGTTGAGAAGCCGATCTAGGTCCTCTCTGTAGGCTATCTGCTCGGCACGGAGAGATTCGAAGCGAGCATCCATCCCTTGCTGTAGCTGTTCTGCGACCGACCTGATGATGGTGGCCATGTCGATGGGAGGTGGCTGTGGTAGGCTGGTCGTGTTTGAGCCACCTGTCTGACCGACCTGATCTGTCTCGACGTTCCGCGTGGTAGTTGTGTTGTCCTGATTGGTCTGGTGGCCCATCGAAAGTCCGGTGGCTGGGTCGACGACCAGATCCTAGGTGTTTCTCGTCGGATCGGAGGCTCCGGTGAGGTCGGTAGTGTTGACCGGTGTTTCAACCATCTTCGAACTTCCTTCTAAGTCAAAGATTGCTCTTTTATTCCCCTCAGACGGCGCCAACTGTAAAAACTCAAATTCGAGCTATGAAAGAACTAGGGTTTGGAAGGTTTTAAAGAGATCTTTTATTAGAAGAAGCTGGAGCTTGATTGAATACAACGGTGTTTAGGTCGTCGGAATAAGAACGCCGACCTAAAACTCTTAAGGAAAGTTAACCAAAAAGCTAGAACAATCTGATTGCTTAGTTTGCTCTAGGTCTGGATTAATGATTTTCGGATCCCTTGAGAAGTCGAGGACTTCCTATATTTATACCCGATCAGGTCGGTCTTCATCCTGTTCGGAATAGGAAACTCTCGTCGTCAAGGAGTTTCCTTTTTCTCCGGGTCGCTTGATAAATGGAAGTTTTCTTTTTATGTTGCCGACCTGGGAATTGTTAGATGGGCCAACTAGAATTCATATCGGGCTTGTTAGAAACAGTACGAATCTCATCTCTAACAAAGAACACAGATTGTTATCATGTTGACCTCAAAATCTGGATTTCTTGTCAAAATCTCTCTCAACAGCTATGGGTAAGCTTACTTTCAGTTAGCCATTAATATTTCTGAATATTTTATTTTATACATTACATGAAAAGTTTAATATTCGAACGTGTAGAAATGAAGCAATTTGTTAAATCTTTGTGAATTGGTTTTTTTTCGTGAAAGATGAAACATATGATATTTAAAGAAAGAAAAAAAATATATGCTGTCTTTTGAGTAATTTGTCAGTTCTTTGATAAATAAATATGAATTGCTTATACTGATTTTAGACAAATCAGAGACCTTTGATAGAACATTTCAAGCTCATGGTTGAAAATTAATAACTTTGATATGATAATTCATGTTTTTGTAAATTTTCGATTCTGTGATAAAAGCTGAGACCTTTTAAAGACTTTGACTTGTTGATTCATGTTTTTGGAAATCTTTAGTTATGAAAAAGTCTGATGAAAGCTGAGACCCTTTTTTGCTTGATGTTTTTAATTGAGCAGGACAAGGGTTGTGCAGAAACTGATTGAGACAGTGAGTACTAAGACACAAATCAATATGGTCAAGTCAGCTCTTAAACCAGGTTTGCTCTACCTAATTAGAGATTTAAAGGGGGTCCATGTTATTAAAAGATGCTTGAGATACCTTGGCCCTGATGATAACCAGGTTTTAACATAATCACTTCCTCTTCATATTCTTGAAAATATTCTTAAAAGTAAGTATGATAATTATGTACTTCTGTGCAGTTTGTTATAGAGGCTGCCACAAGGTTTTGTGCTAAGATTGCGACTCATAACCATGGATGTTCTGTGCTAAAACAATGCGTTGAATACTCTGTTGGGGAGCAACGTGAGAAGCTTGTTGATGAAATATCCAGAAACTCTCTCCATCTTGCACAAGACCCTTTTGGGTAACAATTCTTTCACCATATTGTGAACCTGCTCACATCTTCAACTTTGGATCTTGTTTATGTGTGTGAAATTTTGATGGCAGGAACTACTTGGTGCAATTCATAATAAAGCAGAAGCTGGGAGGAATAAATGTTATGTCTGAATTTAAAGGGGGTTACGTGAAATTGGCTACACAGAAGTTTAGTAGTCATGTAGTGGAGAAATGTCTTATATATTATCCAGAGAGCAGATCTCAGATCGTGCGATAGCTTGTCTCTGTTGAAAACTTCGAACATCTTTTTCAAGACCCTTTCGCTAATTACGTTATCCAGTCCGCTCTATCTAACACAAAGGTGAGTTTTAGTCCTTTGATCATTTTCGCTAAGATATTCACGATCATATATAGTAAACTTGAATGGATATGAACAGTGCTATATTCGAAAGAGTTTGGTTGACAAAGTGCGAAGATGTGAACACGTTAGGATGAATGCACACTGCAGGAAGATATTCTTCAAGAGCCACCTCTTGAAGATGTGATTTCAGACCTAGCCCCTCAAACAAGAAAAGTGATGTTGTGTAGGATCTCTCCAAGGGCCCTTTTGTTGTCTCTGTCTTTTGGATGTTGTTTGTTTTGTAGTTCTTGAAAGTGACCATATCTTGTTTATGCACTCTCTATTTATCATTCACCAAGCCAAGAAAGCAAGCAAGTAAACAACAAGGACAAAATAACCAAAGATCACAATCTCAACATTTAGCAAAATTTTTAAAAACTTGGCCAAAATAAAAAATTCTTAAGATTATCAAAGCTATGATTTATCACTCAAATACAATTCATCTAGGTGATAGAAGCCTAATGGAATTGAAAGCATCAAAATCTAACAAGTTTCTAGTGAGTAATTGTAATTTTTGGACTCACTATTAACCAAGAACACCATTGCTAAAAAAACCATAATCTCACCATTAAAAATTATCACTAGCAATTCTAATCACAATACAAACACCCAGTTAACAATTCCCAATCAATATGCATTCCAATTCCAAGTCCTAGAAAAGATTTCAAAAAATTTCGACCATTGAAAGTGATGGAGAAAATATAGTGTTTCAGAGACATACCTTAGTTTTTTGAGTGATGAAAGGTTAGAAATAAACACAAAATCAGATAGAGCACATTTATCCGAATTGTTTGAGCTTTGAATCACAAGATTTTGTTAAGAATTGAGAGAGTTATGGAGAAAGGGGTGATAGAAAAATGTGAAAGATGAAATATTTTCAGGTATTTGAAGTTTAGAGGAAAGAGAAAGCTCGGGTCAACGTATCTAAGGAGAGTGTTGCTGAAAGAAAAATTTTTCTAGAGTTAAAACTACTCTCTCAATATCTCTCTATACTTGCCATTGTAGTATAGAGAGGTTATCAATCCAATCCAAAGGCTAAGGAACAATCAAGATGCAAAAAACTTGCTAAGCTAGGCCAAATAAAGAGAGGGAATTGAACTTTAACAATCTAAGATGAACAAGAAGGAAATCTAACAACCTAAAGATGAATAAGAAGAAAGCAAAACACAAAAAAGGCAAGGTTCAAGACTAAAGTAATAACAAAGTGAATCACGCTTATGGTTAAGGGATCAAATCAAATTAAGAACAATTCAACTCTAGATGAGGACATCTAAAACAAGACAAGCTACTTTGTTGATTGACATGTCAAACCCAGGGTTAGTGGTGTATTTACCAACAAACAAGCAAGAAGCACAAGGTCCATAAAATCTAACAAGTTCTCATAAAAGAATACACAAGTGATCCAATCTCAACCCACAAAGGGTTTGTTCTTGTTCTATTAAAAACCAAAGCAAAACTTTAGGGAAGAGAAAAGATAAGAGAAAATAGATATAGGTTTAGCTATTTGTAGGAAACATCCCCAAAATAACCTTAGAAAGCAAATATAAAATAGTCAAAGATGGTCAAAGATGGTTTTCGGACCAAAACCTATCGATCAGAAGGAAGGAGGTGATGCTCAATGTAGGTGATCGATAGGAACTTCTGGTTGCGGACAGTGATGCTTGAACTACTGATCGGATTGACCTGATTCAACCTCCGTTGGAAAGCGTATTCAATCCTCTACAACCTCTATGAAGGACGTGGAGGCTGAATCTCCCCGGAAGACCTTCGTTTTGACCCATACATTTCATATCGATCTGCATATCAGACATATTTCTATCAGCTTTGGTCGATACAAGACTTTGGTGCAGCCTAAAACCCGTCATCTTGGCTATTATACTTGGTTCTTCATGTCCTCATTATTCACCAGTCTCCAAATGTCTTCTTTGCTCTATTTAGACCTGAAAAAGACTCCAAACAATGCAAAACATGCAAATATCTAACCTAAAACCTATTATGTCTAATATGAATGCAAATGTGACAAAATATGATGGATGAATGCATGAAAGAGACAGAAAACTAAACTAAATGCAAGCTAAAACATGGTAAATTATGAGGACATCAACACCCCCACACTAAGATCTTGCTTGCCCTCAAGCAAGTATGAACATGGTGAAAGTATGAGCTATTTGTTTTGAAAGATGCCAATAATAAAAATCAAGTCATTGTCCAATTTAGTGATTCTAAGATGAAATGATGTTTGTTCTTACTGAAAATCTAGCCACAAGCATATACAAGAAAACTCAAGCCTATCTAACACAAGCAATCACATCATCTAATCTCTTTAACATTCAATTAACTCATCAACCAAGTGGATCATGCTCATGCAAATCTTGTGTTTTCATTTGGGTAAAGATAAGGCTTATAAGGCAAAGATGACCTCAAACAATTTCGAACTGGTTATATTTAAGTGCAAGGGTTTTCTCAAGAAAATGGAATGAGCTTTGGTAAAATGCTAAGGGTAAAAAACAACTTATGCATACAAAGGTAAACTCCCATCTTCCCCAAAAACTCATAAGTGATCTAAACTCCTTTGCTTCTTCCCCAAAACATAATTCTATTCTACCCTTTTTCTTGAAGCTTTTTGCTTCTTTTGATCCCATTCTTCATTCTCCTTTGGAGCTTCTTTGACAGTGCATCTTCTTCTTTGATTCTTCTTGGTGGTTTGACCATTTATTCTTTGCTTTTGCTCTTCTTTACTTTGCTGGTGTTCCTTTTGCTAGCTTTAGACACCTTCTTCATTTCCATAGAGCTTTTAATGATTAGCCAAACTTCCCAAGGTTACTTATGTGCACTCCTTTTCCTTTGCTCTCTCTTTTCCTTCTTCACTTGACAACCCAAAATATAAATCCCAAAACCATCCCTTATTAACCAAAACATCCTAGCCTATCTAGCTCAAGAGGGTGAGCTAGTTCTACAATGGAAGGGTCCCTTTGTAGTTCTAACCCAACACTTTTTACTAAGCTCATTCCTTAAAGAAAAGACCTCACAATCACTCACAAACAATTTTTGGCTGGAAAGAAGGTTTGGTTAATGGCAAGGAAATCTACTTGGACTAGCAAGAGGGGATAAAGAAGGGAAAAAGAAAGCCCAAGTATGTGTATGGTATCCATGAAAACACTTTCAATGCATAAGACATGATAATTCAATATTCAAATTATGGTCTAGTAAACAGAGACTGAATTCAGATCATGCAAGCTTCATCAAGACAAGAGTATCAAGAAAAGAATTCCAAGTGTGGTTCAAACTTCTATTCAAACTAGACCATAACATCAAAGAACTAACAACTTAGGCAATAAAGTGATTTCAAAAATTAACATCTCTCAAAGGCAAACATCATGCTCAAAATTTCGAATTGATGAAACCTCAATGCAAATGCAACTAGATGCAATCCTAAAATGCAAGATGCAACTAGATGATCACTCAAAACTTTTTAAGGTTTTCAAAATTTTCACATTTTTGCAAGTATGAGGATTATGCAAGAGATGAATGCCAAAATTTGAAAGACAACTATTATTATCACACCCTCCCCCACACTTAAATTACACAGTCCTTGTGTAATCCACTGTGTAATGAAAGTGCAAGAGGAGCCAATATCCAACAAATAATTCAAATATATAAGAGAAGAAGAGAAGAAGAAAAATGCAAAAGTTTTGGAGTATACCGCAAGGTCTTGTAATGGAGGAGGAGTGGAAATGTTTTAAAGAATGGCTTGGAATGGTGAATGGTTAAGAAGAAAGCCTTTACTCCCTTGAAACCAGAAGTGGGCACCATATTGAGCAAGGTCAAGGAGTCATATCGACCAAATCATCTGATATCCAGCTTGATGTAACTCTTGGGGTTCTTGCAGCGCCTTTGCGAAAATCGCAGTATTTCTTAATCCACTTCACCAAATGATACGAAACCATCTGCATACGAAACCTAACTCAATTGTATATCACTGTTATGAAGACATCCGAGGCTGAATCGAGACGCAAACCCTTCGTCCAGGTTGATCTTCAAGTCGGTCAAGATGATCGGTCGAGATTCCAGATGGATATGTGTTCACTTTATTCGCCATAACTATTTAACTACTGATGCGAATGGCTCAAAACCAATACTCACGGGGCTATAAAGTGGATGAAGAACGCAGAGGCCAAATCGGAATACAAGCACCTCATCTGAGCTGATCTTTACTCGTTATGGTCCTTTGGGTGATTCCTATCAGTCACTCCTTGACCGATAGACTGATCGATAGGGTTGATAACTAGGTTTTTTTATGCCTTAATTTAATTAATCCTAAAGCACAGGTTTTGCTGTAGTATAGTGCTAGAGGTGTCAATCCAGCTCAGGTTGATGAAAAATACTAGGAATGCAAGAGCTTTGTAAAGCTAAGTGAAATCCGGATTATTTGAAGAGAAAATCTACAAAAACTAAATACAACTACTAAATGACCACGAAAAGTATTTTAAAATCCCCAATGATGGGTTAAACAAGTACTAGATAACTTCTAAGAATTTAAAATGCAAATCTACTGGTTTTTAAAAATCAAAAACTAAAAGCAGGTAAAAAGGAAAAGTTCTAACAAGATGATTTTTAAGAAACTAAGACAAAAGTTGCAAACTTTAGAACTAGGAAATGATGACTTTCAGATTAAAAAAGTTAAAAACAGATTCAAGGTTGAGGATCATGCTTAAGAAGGTTCAAGATTCAAGCTTTGGGTTTTATAAACATAGATCTACACATTTTAGTGCTATCTCTAGGCCTTGAGAAGCCAAACGAGATTTATCCATGGTGTGTGGTATAAATCCTTTCCTCAAACTTTCCTCTTAACGCATGGCGTGTGGTGGAAAAAAAGGGTGAAGAACATGAAGCATAAATCTCAAAAAAATGGCCAAACTAGCTCCCTAAGCATCAATGGCGTTTGGGAAAGGATGAGCTAGTCCCTTGGATTTGGATTTAAGGGATCTTTTGAATCCTGCTAAGGTAAGGAAATCCCTGAGATCAAAGAGATCTTTCTCAAGAGTCTCTAAGCATTAAAACCCCCAAATCCAAGAAGAGATTGAGTTAAAAACAAGAAAGACCCAAGCTTAAACCCTTAAAACCCTCTTAATCACCTCAACC